AGAATACAATAGTCTGAATAATACATAAGAAGAGAAAATGAGCGAAACTTACAAATTTCTTTAAAGCGAAATAGTTTTTACATTCCAAAAAACAAAAATTCATGTCTATGGTTCATTGTGAGTTACTTCAATCAGATAACATAGTCGATATCTTATAGTATTTGACTATCAATCTAAATGAATTTGATATCTTACAGAACTTTCTATCAAATCCTTATTTTCTTCTCTATAAAAAAAAAATGATCTATCTATATTTCATATTATTATTTATCTGAAATAATAAAACATACAAGAAAAAAACTAAAACTAACGAAGGGTTCATAAAGAATAGGACACTTTTCTTTTCTTTTCGTAAGTAGTGAAGACATAGTTCAGAGACTTCATTCTTTGCTCAACAAAGTCAATAAACTTATAAATTAAGATAATCCCTTCATTTACAAAAAATACATGAAAAGTGAAGACATAAGAAATGTTGTACTGTGATTGCATGAACAAGGATTAGGTAGTCGACAGATTTCAAGACAACTTACTATTGAAACTGAGAAATCAACGGTCTATAGATGGATGAAAATTTTCAAAGAATCAGATGCAATACATTTAGAAATAAATACAAGTTGAAACCGAACAAAAAGATTGAGCCGTCGAGTAAACCACCATCTTCTTCACACGAAAAAGAAACCAATGATAAGACAATTGACCACATTGCATGGTATCTCAAGATCAATTATGCAAAGAAGAATTAAAAATGATCCGAGTTTTAAACTATATGTTAAAACATGTTGCTCCGAAGCTGACGAATGTACAAAAGTGTCAAAGATTCTCGTTTGATATATAGACCAAAAAAAAATGCTACAAAACCTGTATTCAGGAAAATTTTATTTTCTGATGAAAAACAATTTAATATTGATGATGCATAAAGTCGTCAGAATGGCAGAATATGGGTCCTGAATTGTCAGCAAGCTGATTCAAGTGAAGGAATCCATCGGAAAACAAAATTTCTTCATGATTCCATGATATGGTTAGGGCCGTGTTACGATGACGTCAGGCATCCGTCACACACTCAAATATAATGCGAACATCATTTGTGGATTTTTAGCCAACATCACAATGGCCGGCTATAACAGCCGCAGTAACCAATAAAATGGCTTTAATTGATCAAATTCATGCTAGTGTAAAAAGAAATTCGACTTGATGCTGTTCATCGCAGTATTGATTGTTGCACTGAAAAAGTTTATCGTATTTTACAGAACAATTGTGAATATGTTTTCTAAATAGAGTACATGATTTTGTAGAGCGAAATCTTCTCTATCGAATGAACTAAGAATGAAGTCTCTGCAATGTTCGAAACAAGAAAATAAAAGCGTTCGATTCTTTATTGGTCACTTGTTATTATAAAGAAAAAGGACTTTCATCATTAACTGCATCATATAGGATTTCATTACATTTCTAATCATAAGTTAAAAGTTTGATATTCAACAAAAAACAAACTTTCATTAACTAAAAATATAACATTTTTATTTTCTGAAGTAAAATATATTTTCAAGACTTCTGATTACTACTGATTAGAATAATGTTTTTGTTTTTGATATTAATTCTTTTCTCATTAGATTACTGAGTAACAAACTCAATATATATAAATAACTACATAGTTTCAACGTATTTAACATTTTTTGGATTGAACATTGCAAAAAAGAAACAAATGAATACATGGGATTCCAGAGTTTCATCAATTTACTCTCTGTACTAATTTCAGCAAGTAGAATGCATAAATTTCTATTAAGATCAACTTAGTTAGTTCAAATCATATTTAGTGTGTTGTTCAATTGATATAAATCTATAATATTGATTCATTTCCATTTGTCAGTAATCATAAAAAAGTTGATTACTATTATTATTAAATAAAGTTCAGAAAAATAATTTATTAATCACTCATTTAGTTATGGTGAGTTACTTTATATAGATTTTTTTCTTTTGTTTACATGGAAATCTTAATGACAAATTGAGTTACCTACAATTGCGAAATTGTTATGGCAAGAGCTGTGTAGCTTATAGACAACGTGACCCTCTCTGCTAGAACCAAGTTACAAAAATTTGTACAAAACAGATCGTAGGGCATGAGTGTCGTAACCTTGTCAACCTACGACTAATTGTACACATTAGATATTGTCGAAATCCTTTCTAAAGTTATACAGTTAGAAAAATGATAGAAGTAATAATGAACTGACAACCATATTGCATTGGTCACAGAGATATTCGACGAAAACAAATGTTTCGCTAATCTATTCTTTATATTACATATAGCTACTTAAATGTAAATTTAGTTTTCTAATTTTGAGTTTTATCTTATTCTTCAAAAAATAATTCAAATTATTGATATTCAAGATGAACATCCATCTTTAATATCTACAGGATTAGAAATAATATTATTCCAGGGGGATACCACTATAATTTCAAATAGAAGAATTAATGAATTTTATATCAAATGAAAGCTTGTCAAAAATAGGGTTTATTGATACTAAATAGTAAGGGTTATGAAAACTTTTTAATATCGCACTTAAGAAACTTTCAGAAATTTTATACTTTTTTTTGTCGTGATAAAGTAAGGTGCCAGTAATTCAAAAATGGAGTGAAATGTTTTTCTTAGATATTTTTACATGGTTCGATATAGCTCATCGAGCTCTACAAAACTGTATATACGAAAAAATTTTTAAACAGAGTTGTTATGTTCAAATTCACTGAAAACTGTCTAAAGAATGTACCAAAAATCCACATTTTTTACACTTTTTATAAGGAAAAAAAGTAGTCTTTTTTTATACTAAATTCAGCTGTTTTCCATTAGTATCTTTATTTAAGATATTGAAAACATACTCATTCGATGCAGTTTTTCATGCTGCATCGAATGAATATATTTCTAAAAGCCTGAGGAAGTAAAAATAATAAAAAAAAGCCAGTTTTTTTGAAAATTCGAGTGTTTTTCTTCCATATCAAAACTATGACATTTTTTAACGTTTTTAAGATTTTCCAAATAGTTTTTTGAATTTTTTATCACAAAAAAATGAGTCAGAAAATTTTTCGCATAGACAGTTTTGTAGAGCTCGACGAGCTCTATCGAACCATGTAAAAGCATCTAAGGAAAACACTTCACTCCATTTTTGAATTACTGACATCTTACTTTATCACGGCAAAAAAGTATAAAATTTCTGAAAGTTTCTTAAGTTCGATATTAAAAAGTTTTCATAACCTTTACTATTTAGTATCAATAAATCCTATTTTTGACAAGCTTTCATTTGATATAAAACTCATTAAGTCTTCTACTCGAAATTATAGTGGTATCCCCCGGGAATAATATTATTTCCAACCCTGTACAACAAAGTTTAACGTCGTCAATAGGACATCGAAAACAAGAAAGAAAAACGCTATAGTCATGCAAGAATTTTGCAGGAGATGTGTAAGAAGATTGTGATTATAATTCACATAACATTAATGGTTATATTAACATAAAACTTTCTTTTTCAAAAAGTAATACGTTGTTAGAATAGTGGGACAAACATTCTTTAATATTTTGATAGCTTTTTTTTTTATTAACAAAATCCTTGAAAGATATTCATAATTGATATTTGTGAGTTTTGGGGAGGAACGAGTGATGAAATTGTACTATAGCATAAAGAACGAAAATATTCCACTATGAATAATCTGTTCTTTGGAGTTCATGCAAGTTCAGCTACATTGGAACGTGTTTTCAGTTCATCAAGTCGAATTTTGAACGAAAAAAGAAGCCAATCATTGAATTCAGATATTCTGGATGACATTTTCATCATTAGGACTTTTCGAGAAATGTAGTGTTGTTTTCCTTTGCTTTATGATTGAAACAAATTGAATAAAAAACTGATACGAAAGTTTGGATCTTTCTCTAGTGCTAACAGGGTAGAGCAAGTTAAACGTTATGAAGTATAGTCTCAGAGAAAGGCGGGCAGAATACATGAAAAGAATTTAGATGACAGAATCAAGGTGTTAAAATACCAGCAATGAAGGTTACAGGTTGTCACAATGGCGTACACTGCAGCCCTCTAGTTATGACACTTTAGTTTAAATATGTCAACGTATTGATTCTATTTTCTTCAATTTTATTTCATTATATGTTAAAAAGAAAAATGAATATTCTTTCGTAGCTTCGAATTATAATAATCTGGCAAAGTTGAGTTATAACGAATGAATAAATGCATATGACTTTTCACTAAAATTATTAACCTTTTTTAATTAAAAAGAGAAAATATACAGGATTTTATTTATCATTATTTAGTATACTAGTTATTTCAAATGAATCAATAGTTTTGTTTATTTGGTTGAAAATAATCGAATTAGATTGAAAATATTCCATTTTTCACTATGAGATATACAAAATCGAATAATAAAAAAAAACATATTTTCTTTTGTTGATTCATATTTGGCTTAGTCTCAAGATATAAGAATTCATTTTCACGTTGACAATTACCTTTGTTGTTATCAATGTAATAATAACACATTACTTTACAGTATGGTTCATTTTAATATGGAGAAAAAAATATATAGAGATATTTTTCAATAAAATACTTTGAAATTCATCAGTTATCAGAGATAACACTGAATATTTGTATATAATAATAAAAAGTTCGAAATTCGAATTTCGTGAAATGGAAAGACTACAAAACAAAAACACTCTGAATAGTTATTTCTACTACTTTAATATATATTAATTTTAATAATAATATTCGCAATCGTAATGAAAAATTTTCACCAACAAAGCAATAGGTATAATTTTAGTAAAGAAGACATTTTGTTCTTCTTTTCTAACGCATATATATAATCATATTGTACGTTGAAGCATACAAATCAAAGTAAAACTATCTCTATATTTAATAAAATAGATGGTTTTTTGCGTTGATAAGAGTCACACATCATTGCATTTTTCATGCATCACTAATATGCAAAAGAACATCGATAGTAATTGAAATAAAAAAACCATGGTCAACTACTACTGTCGTCATCTATATGGATGCAGATGGTTTTGTTTAACAATCTTTTTTATTGTTGGATTTTTAACATATGCTTTCCATCCTGATATTTTATCATTTCTACCAAGTAAATATACGAAAGTGAATAATATTAAATCTTATGTTCCGGTAATAATAGAACCATCGACTTCTCCAGAAGTTAAACAACTGAATTCAGAAGAAGAAAAACAAAGTTATACTTATGAAAATTTTATTCAATGGAATCGATCATTATGCAGTATTCAATCAGATCATCGTGGACCAAATCAAAAAGTAATTAGTATTTCAGTTTATGGATCATCATCAAATTATACCGATAATGGAATGTTTGCATGGGAAACATCTATATTTTCATTTTTAATACCACTTGCTAATGAAGTTAAATTACTTCTTCCATCATGGATTATTCGTCTCTATATTGATTTTACTGGTAGTACTAAATCTCAAAAGAATTTTCTTTATAATTTTTCAAATATTGATATATGTGATATACACAATATACCTATGTTTGGTTCATCATTAGTTTCATATTTACCAGGAAAGATGTGGCGTTTTTTACCAGTATTTGATCCATTTGTTGATTATTTTCTTTCACGTGACCTTGATTCACCTATTATGAAACGTGAAACTGAAACTATTGATATGTGGTTATCTGATAATGAGAGAAAGTATATCTTTCATATTGCACGTGATAATAAGCAACATAGTGTACCTATATTAGGTGGACTTTGGGGTGCATCTCCTGGACGTGCTCGTCATTATTTATATCATATTTTTCAACCGATACTTGTACCATCAATTGCTCAACAATATAAAGGTGCAGGTGATCAACTATTTATTTCACACATTATTTGGCCATATGTTAAAAAATATTCATTGATTTTTGATAGTTATTATTGTGATGTATATGGTGGTCAGCCATTTCTTTCTCAACGTCCAGTAGGTGATAATTGTTTTCTTGGATGTATAAGAACATGCTGTGTCAATACAACTTCTCACGATTCTCAGAATCCAAATAATACTTGTCCACCAGCTTGTCGACCAAAAGATCATCAAGATTGGATTTATTGTTAAAAGTTTGTTTTATTATCAAGTTTTCTTTTCAGATTTTACCAGTAAAAACAAAAGTGAATAAAATGGATGTCAAACGAAGATTAGGAAGAAATATATTTACAGGAAGTTGATATTTTTTATGATAAGAAAAAGATGATGTGATTTATGTGTTAATGAAATAAGAAGTGAAGTGTTCATATAAATAAAACGTTGATGTTTAGTGACTAAATATTATCGAGTTGTGCACTGATTCTTATTAGACTATCAAAAATATGTAATTGCTTTGAATAAACTCTAAATTAAGGGTATTGTTCACTGATGAGAAATATTGTTTGCATCGTTATTTAGATAAATATTTATTATTTTCTATAACAAACGATTATGCTATCTAATATAGAATCAAGTAAGTAAATCTGATACCTATTTATTATCATGTCTGATAAAAACCTCGTTATTTGACTTTTTCTTTCTTTTCACAAAAGGTACAAAATAGATCTGTAACTACCATAAAAATGACTGGCTTAAAGAAATCTTGAATGTTCGCTCACTCTCCCTTCGTATTTATTATTCAAACTATTTTATTCTAACTCAGCATCAAAAACATACTATAACTGTATCAGTCTGTGTGTGTTCAATTATTGTTCCCTCGTTCAACGTAGCTTCTGAAAAGAGATAGTTTTTCAAATAATATACAACTACTAAGTGTTTTAAGTAGCTGATTGATTGCTAATAAAATTGCGTATTTTACTTCTTCCTGCAATTAGCTATTCAAAATCAAGCGTTACTTAAAAATTTTCATAGCTATTTAAATTGATTTGATAGCTGATTAAAAACAGGTCAGCATTATTTAATGATTTAAATAGTTGCACCCTTTATAACAACATTTGGTTTATTGATCTTCATAAAGTTATAATCTATTCAAACATAACTTAAGAAAAAAAATTATCGTAGCTATTTTAAAGATTTGATACATATTCAAGACAAAAAATATATACAGATTTTAAATGACTGATTCGCTTGCGTGATGATTTCTATAAATGTTTTAATTGATGTTCCTTTTACTTATTGTGTCGTGTTTTCGATCTTTTCTTTTTTGTTTTTCATAATATGCATTTTAATTTTTTTGTAATGATTGACTTTTTCGTTCTGACATTGACTATTTCTTAAATTTTTTCGTTATGTTATATTCTAGTAACTATCTAATAGATTCTATTACTTGATACTTGCGTGTCTATCATTGATATATTGTTTTTTTGAGCATAGACTAACAGAAATATACATTCTCTATAAGAAAGCTCCTAATCAATTCAAAATTAATCATTGTTATTGAAAGATAAAACTTTACATAGCTATGAATATTTTTAAAATAATGCTTGAAATTAAATAGCCATGTATCGAATTATTTTCAATTTTCACGCTCTTTGTTCGAAACAAATCAGTTAGAATAATAAGTAACTGTGTATTTATTCAATAGTTACATTTATTTATTAATTAGTGTTAGAAATCTTTAAATAGTGTTTGAGATTAGGTGGCTATTTACTTAGAGATATAGAGAATCAATAAAAATAAATAAAAGTCGTTTCAAAAAACAAAGGGCTGGAAATCTTTTTTATAACTTTTGATAGAAACAAAATAGTGAATTGCGATTTTCACCTTTAGAAAGCAAAGATGAAGTCGTATCACATCGTATATTACAAGTTTTTCAATCGATCCTTTTAAAAGCCAACGTACACTGTGAGATAATTACAGTGAATTTTCATTTTATCAGGTGTGCATCTGAATTACCCAATGGAAGATCTACAATACTACATAAGCCTCATCTCTTTTAGATTTAGTTACTCATTTGTCACAGTTATTCTGTTAAAATTCTCAGCAGATTTTTTAAGCAATCGCTATGAAAAAAAATCACATTTTTGCTTTTTTTCTTATGTTGAAAGGAACCATTTTTCCGAGACCTGTTTTTTAAAGGTTTGATTAAAAAAACTTCAGAAATCATCTCAGAAGAATTTATAATATACAATTCGATGTGACTTCATCTGCTCTCGCCAATGATGAAAATCGTAATGCTCTATCGTGTTTCTATCAAAGGTTAATCAAAAAAACATCCCACCCTCCTTTTTTCTGAAACGAGCATTAAATC